GCTTGAATAAATTTTTTCATTAATGTAACCATTTCAAAATACTGTACCCATAATTCAGCTGTTGGCCCCAGATTTTTAATTGAATTTATTTCGGTTATAAACTTATTAGTCATTAAATTAAAATTTGGATCTAGGTTTACAACTTCCATACTTGTTGGTTGCTCAAAGTATACACTGAAATATTCGTTGGCTTTAACACGTTCATCTTCAGTTAATTTAATTCTTTCAAAAATAATTTTTGATAAAGCTAAGTGTGTTAATGAGTGTGCTCGGACGGCTCTAGAATAGGCATGACCAGTTAAAAGTTTTTCTACAGAATTTGGTGCGTATATGGTGTTTAACATTTCCTGAAGTCCACTATTCGTCATTAAATATCCAATGCAGCCCAGAAAAGACATAAGTAGATGAAAACCACCAAGTCGAACAATGACGTTTGAAAGTTCTTTGCCATGAGTATGAACAATATCTTTGGCTTTCATGTACAATGGCAAATCGAAAGTAACAAACGTAGTCTTTTGATTAATTTCGTTTGATTTTGTTACTGCAAAATGAAGTACTGTTGAAATTGCATCATAACTATGAGCGGGTAAATCTACAAAAGGTAAAAATATTATTTGCGAAAGTGAATAGTCTATTGGGGAAAGCTGACATATATTTTCCATGTATCCATTCCAACCACTTAAATTGTTTATTTTCAAATACTTTCCACAGGCCCATAGAACGTCAATAGGTTGGAGGTGTTGCGTAGTTCTTTGAAATGTAGTTAACTGGTTAAGATCTCGAATTTCAATATTCTTTAACCCACTTTCGATACCCTTTTCATAATAGTAGATGGGCACTTGACCATACTTGCTAATATCTTTAGCCGATGGAAGTGTTTTTACAATAAGTAAAGGCTCGTCTGGAACAACTGATGTAGCTGGTGTAGCACAGCATATACCACCCATTATATGTGTAGTATTTAAACCATCGATAGTGCACGAGTTAAAATCAGCATTATCAAATACAAATTGGCTAAAAGAATTTTCTAAAACCCGAGTTTGTGGGTAAATGAAAGAAGATGTTTCAAATTTAATTACATCATGGTATGTCGAGCAAAGCCCAAGACTTGATAAAATATTTATTAAATATCTTGATTCAAATTTTCTATGTAAGTATATACCGACACTCATTTGTATTGTAGACCGAAATGAACGAGGTCTTGTCGCTGACATAATAGCATGAGCAATAGAAGTACATTTTTTTGATACATGTGTTCTATCACCTTTCTTATTACTTAATATTACGCTATTTAAAAATAAACTCAATGTTTTAGGAATGACACTATCTACATTTGTTAAAAAGTCATTGGGTGCCGGGTAAGAACTTGTATCATTTATCTGTGAGCGAATGTCTTCCCGAATAATTATTGCTGCTGCCTCAACGATTCTTTGTCTCTCTTCCTCTTTGTTTACTTTTCGATTTTCATACCAGTTTTTAGTCAAAATATTTTGACTTGTGCCTCTAAAACATACAGTTGTAGTCTTTTTGTTGGCAGAACTTATTACGATATTTTCACCATATTTTTCGAGCAATTTCGCGCGAATAGTTTTGACATCGGGCACATATTCATAATCAATACAAGACAATATATCATTTTCAATCGAAAATTGACATTCCTCACTGTTTTCTAAAATAGAGTATATTTTGTCCATAACTATCATAATACTCTCATTTTGCGGCCTACCTCTTTTTAAATTGCCGCTGGAGGTTGATTTGAAAAAATTAACAAAACAGTGTTTGTGATAAATAACATCAGCTGCTACAACATCAATGACATTAGCTAAACGTTTTTCAACCTCTTTACCCCATACATCATTTCGTTTTTTTGCTTGTTCAACTATAGAATGACCTACGTTTAAAGTACTTACTGTACATACAATCTGTCTATTCTCAACAGGCTTTTTCTTTTGAATATCCGAAAAATTGTCTGGTATAATTTCAAAACAAAAAAGACACTTACATTTTAGTTGAAGCGACTGATGAGATGACCGTACTTTATTTTTGATAGGTGTAGGAGGCGCTGACTTATTAGACGCAGTTGAAGCACTAGCTTGTTTTAAGTCACTTACGATGCTACTTTTACGCGTGTACGATTTTCTACATTCAATATGTACCATTATCGTGCCACTGACATTATTAAACTTATTGTCATCACGCATTTGACTAGCTTTTACGAGACTTATTAAACCCTTTTGTTTAACTTCAACAAAGTTACCTTGAGTCTTCTTACAAATATAACACTTTATTAATGACATTTTTTGTAATATTATAATTTTAAAATAAAAAATTGAACTAATAATTTTGAAACAACGTAATATTCACTAAATCGCACAAGACGTTAAGATTTTCAACTGACTCGTTAGGACTACGATACGTACACTACTGCCATCAGTACCTACCATCCGTATATGACGGGAAACTATTGTAAGAATAGATTACAATTTAACAATAATATTTGGCACAAAACTAGTTTCTTATCGCTTATAAATACTATGAATTTATGACGTGCCGTACAGAATTTCAGATAAAAATATGTACATCGCGAATTCGCGACTGACCAATTACCTATTCTTTACCTTATTTACTATTTTTATTTGTAGTATGTTTTGTTATGTTATTATAATTGAATCGTTCACCTTTAGTTTGTAGAACACATAAATATATTCAATACAGTGTAAAACCTATTTAACACGGAAAGAGAGAGAAATGTATTAATAATTTTCAACTGTCAATTTTTATAATATATCTTGCCAAATATTTGTTTAAATGAAAAAATATAAGTAAACTTTTTTTTTGTAAATTGTCTAATAAATAACTTTTATTTGAAACTTTTGATATTTGTAATATTTGAGATGAACTCATTAAAACTTTCATGAGCTTATAAAAAGCTCCAGTCCGATCAATGGGACTTTATGTTATAAGAGGCATATTTATTAAACTTTAAAAATCTTGGTTGGGATTTTTCCGCCATTTCAAAATGTTGTCTCAACTATTCCCTCGGCCTATAGATACTTTTATTACATGTGATAAAATATTATTTCAAACTATTTACTTATTGTTAAAAATATTGGTAACATTGCCCATTACTACATCATCTGTAGAACGCTCTTTCCACGTTATCGCTTAAAACATGTGGATTTGTACAGTAATTAGTGAATTGGTGATTAAATAGTTAGCATTACTAATCCATAGCAGATATAAATGACCACCTGAAGAGTCTTAAATCATTATTCAATATTCTAATCGTAGATTAAATTGAAGATTAATTCATAATTTATTATATATTTAACAAATAAAAAAATAATTTATGAATATTGTTTACTTTATTATTTTGTTTATAATATAATATGTTATTATCAAATACTCTATATTTAAGATAATTAATACAAATATAGGAATTTATTTTGAAAGAATTATTTTGTGTTATGGAATGTTGATGATCATATTACTTAATAGATGCAGCTATAGTAGGTGGAGCGAGGCCTCCAACTGTTCAATTGATTCTACCCATGGGCGTAGCTAGATTTCAATCGTGGAGAGCAGGATGTACAACCTAATTTTTAAAGTATTTATTTATAATATTTATTCATTAACTCATTATTTTAAATTATAACAAGCAATCGTTCTAAGTCTGAAATCTGCTGAGAATTTTCTGATGCATCTCTTCTTTTCTGTAGCTTAAGCGTTCAACACTTAGTATGCATAGACTCAAAATAATTTACATTGTATTTGATTAACTATTATATAATATTGATGCGTGATATAAAACTATTTTGATTTACCATCAGACGGTTGTTTTCCGTCATCGTTGAACTTCAACCAAGTCTTACCCTTCTTAACGACTGGATGACCTTAAATAGTGCTAGTTGTACATGAGCTGAGCTAAAAGAAATACAAGGCTTGTTTTATTTTAGAGAAAATATCTTGTTTCTTCTACTACTTACCTCATTTCCATGTCTGATAGTTTGCTTGTTTTTCTCCTTCCAGATGTTATATACGATTCTTTCACTTTCCAAGTCTTTAATTTGGTAATAATTGGCAAAATCATTATTCTTAAGTTTAACCATCTGCGATCAACTTATATTTGCAGGGTGTAATAATAAAAGTGAAAGTAGCAGTGTCTTTTCAACAGAAATCTCCACCTCAATGAGGATATTAATGGAATCCAATATGGAATTAGTAATGATCTCTCCAGAATTCACCGAATTTAACGCTAGGAGGATTGAACGATGTTGTTGTTGTTTAACACCTAAGGAAGATAATTTCTGCTCTATATTCTCAGCCTATGTTTGGCAGCAGTTATATTCTGAATTTCTGTGTCAGCGTGTTCGGTGTGATCTTTCACTATGACTACTATTTTTATAAATTTGAGCTTTCTTGCTAAACCAGATTTTTGATTGTAGTATCTCACAACAGGCTCTAATAAATTTAGGTATTTTGCTATGAGATAACACTCATTATAAAAATACTTTTATTTGCTACAGCATACAATTGAAAAGCAACTTTTCTTGTTGCAGTGTTCCCATCTTTTGACAATTTATCTAAAGCATGTACAATTATCTCAAAATTTTCTTTGAAAATTGAAATACTTCTATATTTTTGAGACCATCGTGTCTCACAGAATGCTGGTATGTTCGGGATACATTTTCTACGTAAAACAGATTCGCGAAAAAAGTTTATGATATCCTTTACCGTTGAAATTGTGTTACGTATTTCTGGAACACAATTTAAATCATTGACCACCAAGTTTAATTTATGACTTGCACAGTGAAAAAATAGAGCATGTGGATATTTTTCTCGTAAAATTGTTTGCACTCCATTGATTTTCCCTGCCATAGTTGCGCAACCATCATAGCCTTGTCCAACAAGCTTCGTTCCATCGAGACCTTCGTTTTGAATAAAATGATCTATTGCACTAGCTATGTTAACAGCATCCATGGCATGTAGTTCAATGAAGCCTAAAAATTCTTCTCTGATAGCCCTTTTCTCATCATCAAAAAATCTAATCCCAATAGACAATTGTTCTGTTCCTGAGATATCAGCGGTCTCGTCTGCCATTATACTGAAAGCTACAGCCTTTTTAACATCATTAATAATACAATCTTTGATTACTGTTTCACTTATATTGATGATTTCATTCTGATTTTGCGGAGATGTGTAGATGGCATTTCGCTTGCCCTTTTCGATATGGTTTTGGAGATACTGATCACCAGCTTCAATTCGCATTTGAATTAAGTCATAGAAAACTCCTACATCAAAAAATTATCAAAAATAAATAATTTAAATAATCCAATATTTTATAAATTTAATGATTTTATTTAATTACCTTCATTTTGACCTTTTCCTCTAAAGAGTAGATCATGGGTTCCGCAAAATAGTACATTTGAAATTATGGACGAAATAATTTTTCGATTTTGTTCTAGTACTTTTTGGTGTCCGGATACCATCATAATATTTATAGGTACTTCTTCCATAAAACTTTTAGCTGCTTCGGTTGCTCCTTGGTGCCAATTATTGGAAATATGGTTTCTACAGCCCTCGTGAATGTCTTTGTATCGTGTAAAAGGTTTGATGATAAATGAACCTAAAACACCTTGGACTTTTTTCGGTGGAAACAGAACACAGTACAAACAAAGAGCTGCTTTCAGTATTTTCGAATACGCAAGCCAAGGAGCATAGGCCTGTAACCAACTATGGTTAAATTTCAAAAAATCCAACAGCAATAGCATCTTCACTAAAGTTGTAATTTTCTGGTGGCGTCCAACAACGTTTCAAGATATCCATTTTTTGAGATGTTGTTAAATGATTAGACCGTCCCACCCATTGACCTATGTCATTTTCAAAACGTTCTTCATTTGTAAGCTTTTTAGAAGTTGAAGGATCTGCATTTCTGGTATTGCGATCATAAGAAATGGAAGGTTCGTTGGAGGATTTGGAATTTTATATATTCCTTCATGTTCATCACTTCCGCTACTACTTATTTCTGGCAATTTTCTCTTTTCTCGAGCTTAAAAATTACGAAGACTTATGAAATAATGATGTAAGTGATAATCAGGGCTCGAAACTTAATGCATTAAAAATTTGTTTGTTGTTGATAATTTATTAATAATATTAATATATAATAATAATATATTATTATTATTATTTATATTATTAATATATAATATTAATAATAAATTATAAACATAAAATATGCGCTATGACACAGAAAAAGTTGTTTCCTATGTATTGTGGAATTTTGGTAATTCTACTATAAATACCAAGGGAGTGGTTTTGTCCCGCGCAAAACAGTTTTTCGCTATATTGTAAGACGAAGACAACGCATGCGGGTATAGCGTCCTCTTAATATATCATAGTTGCGGCAGGCGGCGGTCACAATACATAGTGTATATATTATATAAGTAAAAGACTTTGTACTCATTTATTTTACTTTGTAACTATTTATAATTCTAAAACAAGATATGTACTTACCACCAAAAAACTTTCTTATGTCCATCGTGTAAAATAATATTAAATGTAAACGTTATAATATATTATATTCGTTACTTACGCGAACACAGAACGGCACGTACTGCTGTCTGCTGCACTTGATTGTTGACACTATCGCTGTTGATATTAATGTATAAAGCACATAACGATTAGCGTTTAACTCATAATTCAAATAATCTTTAGATAGACTAATCGATAAAATATAAAACGATTACACGTGTAGATATCACTCGGTCCCACTAAACTATTTTTAGACTTCATGTACTTATATCATATTTAATATTTCAATTTTAACGTAAAACTTACACGTGTGATATAAGAAATACAATTTAGTTTGTAGTGCAGGGGGGGGGGGGCATTTGCCCACCCATGCCCATACTCGCTACGCCCATGGATCTACCTATTGTGAAAACCCTACCTGAACTAAAATCCTGCGTACGCTACTGATTGACGGTACACCTAAAAATTTAATTGATATATCTTATTTTTTTTTTCATTAATTAAATGTTTAAAAAGTATAAGTATTGTGACCAATCTTAGTATGATAATTTTGATTAATTGAGCAATATTTTTAATAAAAACAGTTTAAAAATATTCTCAGATCATTAAAATAAAAATCTACTCTTAAATATTTAATCTATTTCTTACATTAAATTTATATCAAATTTTTTTAGTAACTTCTTTAATAATTGTTTATTGATGCTACCTAACAATTTATAAATTTATATGTACCTACTTATATTATTAAATATTATTAAATATTTATTTAATCTAGTTTTTACATTAAATTTATATCAAATTTTATTAGTAACTTCTTTAATAATTGGTTATTGATGCTACCTAACAATTTATAAATTTATATGTACCTACTTATATTATTAAATTGTAGGTATATGATAAAAAAAAAAAAAAAAAGATTTAGCCATAACTTATTTTATAAATTAACTTTTTATAAATTTTTTTTTTATTAACATAGATATTTAAAACAGATATACTTTCATTGCTGAATAATGAATAATATTTTATTACTATAACATTATAAATTATATTTTAACTTATAGGTATTACATTTTACAAAAATTATTTTGTGACTATATGCTACTATGTATTTTTCAATTTCATTAAACTTCTAAGAATTTGTGTTGGAAATTAAAAAATTTAAATACATTTTCAAGTAGCAATGAAAAATAATTTGTCAATTTGTTACCCTTACAAACAAACTATTTTCATTTTATAGGATATCATTGTTATTAAAGATAGTAATGTTGATATCTATGAAAAAACACAAATCAGTCATTTTAAAAAGCCCAATAAAAATGATCTTGGTTAAATTTTTGAATATCATCCATAACAGCTATTTTTGGATTTTCCTTTTAAATTAACTAAATCATTTTACAAAAAAATAAAACTCGACGTTGTTGGCTTTCATATGATATATTTTCCCAAAGTTTTTTCTGTAGTGTCTATTTATGTATTTCTTCAAAAGATAACGTATTTACCCAAAGATTGCAACTTTGACACATATTTATCAAAGAGTTGATGAACATGAAAATAGCAAAAATGATATAATATGTACAGATGCTTATCTACACCACGAAAACAACAAAAGTATAGATATTTACTAATTTTAGAACAAAAACATAAATTAAAGGAAGAAATTAAAAATAATAGGAAAATACTAGAAAGGGTTATTGAGAATAAACCTAATTGAAAAGAAAGGTTTAAGTTACAATATGAATCATCTAATTATTGACACGATCCTACCCTTGGCAACATGGTAACTTTTTAGAAATTCTACTTCTTTTAAAAAAAATATGATGTGACATTCAATGAACAAATTGATAAAATAACCGAAAATGCTCAAGAAAAAGCTGCTCGACACAAGTCTACAAAAGTGAAAAGAAGAATTTCATCTATAACAACATTCATTTCAAAAACTACAGTTTATTTGATTATTGATACTGTAAGTTTTCTTATGAAAAGATCAATTTCTTCTCAAATACAAGAAGCTGAAATGTGTTCTTTGCAGCTGGATACTATACAGGATATGTATGATTCAAGATCAGTGTCCTCTAATATTAAGATATGTGAATTTAAAAGGAGTAAATGAAAAACTAATTTCCTTTGTGACAATGAAAGAATCAACAAGAAAAATTTTCCATGAAATGCTGCAAGATGTACTGAACAGCAATGAACTTGATGTAAAAAAATGCATTGGAAATGCCACAGATGAAGTGGCCAATATGCTAGGGAGATTTGATGGCTTTTCATCCTAGTTTTCAAAGTCTTCACCCAGTCAAATTCATGTATGATGTTAAGTCATATTTTGAACTTAGTTATTATTGAAGTAACAAAATCACCACTTCAAGCTGTCTCTTTATTTGTGTTATTAAATTTTGTTGCGGTTTTTTCAAAGAATCGTACAAGAAAAAAAGAAAAAGAGTATAGAAAAAATAATTAGTGAGAAAGCTTTAAGAAGACTTGTGACTATTGGAAATACTCATTGGTAGTCTAAAGAGAAAGCTTTGCATCATATTTTTGTAGATAAGGGACATTTGTTTATAGAAATGATTTTCGCTTTAGACACTATACAAACATTAAATTCTTTTACGCCTGAAGTTCGTGTAATATAAAAATATATTAACGGCATTTGTTTATGTTCATATTTTTGAAATTGTTGGTCCTCTCTCTAGTTATTTAGAAACAAAAGGTATAGATTTAATAAATTCTCAAGAATTGGTTGATATTTTAGTTTTTATATTTCGTGAGGACGAGAAATGGCAAGGGCTGGTCAATATATAGATTTGCCGAGACAAAATGTTGTCCTAGTCGGCCCCTGATTAATTCCATATATTTTCACTCTGAAGAATCTTAGTAACTTTATTAATAGCAGAAATTAATTCATACCAAATAACAACACTTAAAATAATATCATAAGAAAATTCATAATTCGCTAAAGAAGAACTTTCACTTTTTATTTTAGGATCTTTTGTTAATTCACTAACTTTTACTAAAGCAATGTATACTTGACGCAATTGAAAATGAATTGGTTTAATCGATCTTTAATATCTTGTACCTGTTATTTGCTTCAAAGAAAAATTTAAAACGTATCCCATCTTTCAGTAGAAGCACTAAAAATTTATAAATTCTTTAAATTACGCCAAAAAAATGTCATAACAGTCGGTACAAGCAATGCCACGAGAAGTAAAGGCTGTGCGCAGTATATGGTACAAATAAAAGCTCTTAGATTCTCTGAAACGATTTGAGATTGTACTCCTAGTTTTCGGCCGACCATATTTGCCTCATTAATGTACAATTAGCCACAACAATTTTTCAAATTCAGTTTCATTAATTTTAATTGTTCATTTATTTCCTCAGTTAAATTTAAACCAGATTTATTCGACGTATGTATAAAACATATAAAATATTGGTTTATTTCATATTTAAAATTTTTTGAAATTTCTACAATACGAATAGGAAATGTAAGCTGCTCCTTATGACTTTTATCAGGTACTCCATCTAATAAAATCGTAAAATATTTACTTTTTTTAACGCGATTTATTATTGCATAACGTATTTTTGTAGCAATAATTATATTTATAATAGGTACTAATAAATTCGTTTTGGATCGTAGGTCCTAAATAATGATCATATTAATCATGTATTTTATCATTAGATACACGTCTTAAATTATCGACCATAATTAAATCAAATTTTTCAATCATTTGTATTAGTCCTAAAAATGTACCATTATTAGCTGTAAACAATTTATAAAAATTTAGAATATTGTGCATTGTATGTTCATATTTGTGTAGCTGTGTAAATTCATGTAGTGTGAGTGAGCTATATCATCCATTTTAAGACGCTTTACCGAATAAGACGTTATATTCCATCGGTCCCTAAACATTTCTTATACTAGTCATTGTAAAAACCACCTGTTAAGACGCTCGGGTTTTATCCACCTCATCGGATATAACGTTCTTTTGTTTAGCAGATTACGATAATTTTTAGTAGTTTGGAGAAAATAATAACATAAATTTTACTTGTTTGTCTGTTCTTATCGTTTTATTTTATCGCTATACCTATTTTATCATTACCCAACAGTTTTACTGTAGTCTGTCGATCTAGTGAAACTACAGTCTGGTTTTGCTATTTATTAGCGGTGGTTCTCGGGCATGGTACTGCCTGGGCGGAACGTCCGCTACCGACACCGGTCGCCAGCATGGTTTGCGGGTTTGGG